ATGTGGTGGTGATGGTGTAAAAATGTCACTTTTAACGATTACAAAAACAGTGTTAAAGCAAAAGGTCGATGCAGGGTCAATGGGGGATCGATGTAGGGTCGATGTAGGGTCGATGTGGTGGAGGCAAAATAAAAATAAAAAGCAAAATTAGAAAGGAAAAATCAGAATCAGTGAACCGGAATTAGGACAATGACAGCGGAAGAAAATAGGACTTGCATAATTACGTTACGGCTCAGTGATTATAAGTCATTATTCCTCAGACAAGACACCATGAATTAGCCAATGAAAACGTTTCATATTTCAGATTCCTGCGCATTTTGTTCATGAGATAAGGACAAAATGCTATGACGTTATTGGCGTCAATGTATTCCTGCGCAAGTAAATGAGATTTCTGCACAAAAAAACGGTGTAAAATAGCCCTACTATACTACTCTTGGAACACTAAAACCATGCTGAAAACGTTCACTTAGTAAAACAGATATGCTGGCTGAATTATCAATAACATATATTACCGGAAATACATGGCCATTTTCAATACCTCTGTCGTTGTTCCAGCTAAATTAAGTCTTGGAACTTCACAGCAGCCCAGTTTCTCTCCTCTTGCTTGAAGGCGTGGATGCAAAGTTTGTACCTGCTGAAGGTTGAGTGCATGGTCCTCTCTGATACATGGCGGGAAAAGTGCTCCTACAGACACCAACTGTGATTCGGAGGGACCTATTAATGGGTTGGGTCGCTTGGTATATATGACTGTAATGTTACCACGAAATGTGTTGGGCTCTAAAACAAATAATACATATCTTTTACCCTACCTTTATTAGTTTTTAGTGTACTTACACAATAAATTGTCAATACGTTCTCTCTTCTTTTAAAGAAACTCTCCTCTCGCATCAACATCGATCTTGAGACAAGCGGCGTATTAAACCATAACAATCAACCAACACATGTACTGGTGCTATTCACTACTGGACTTCGCTTTTGCTTTGGAGCAAAACAAATACCGTAAAATTCCGAAAATAAGCCCCTCCATGTACAAGCCCCTCCAAATATAAGCCCCCCGGGGGCTTGCACTTGGAAATTGCCCTCAAATGCAAAGTAAAACATAGCAAAAACGGTAAATTTCCCTCCAACTATAAGGCTAACCCAATCGATTTCGGAACGCAAATTTCCCTCCATAGATAAGCCCCTCCGATTATAAGCCCCTCTAAAAGGGCCTTTGAAAAATATAAGCCCCGGGGCTTATTTTTGGAATTTTACGGTATGCAAAGCTAATCTTAACACGTAAGACGTAACTTCGCAAGAAGGCCACACAAAGTCTCTTGGCAAATCCGTTTGCGGTCCTTCATGGTCCTTTTCAGTTTTCGCGCCACTTTTTTTTTCAACTAATCAGAGGCCAAAGAAAAACCTCATTGCCACATACAAGCATTTCTCCTCTCTGGAATAGAGTACATGTCACCAGCTTTAACTCGTGATTGGTACAATATGTTTCTGATTAGACCCAATAGGAACCTGTTTCAATGAGTTTCTTTCTTTCAATTGTAAACCGCCCTAAATTTCACCTGTTCTTGTAATAGTTATGGGTGACATTCCTACTTCAGCGAAAGTTGTTGCCCAGCACAACCAGATAAACATACACAACTGCACTATAGCAACCATACATGTGAAATACGGCCGAAAACCGCTGGATAGCTCTTGCAATCTTTCCAGTCGAAGTCGACCTGTACCTCTTGGATGATTGGATTCTGGGTAGGAAATTAATGAAAATAATAGTTAACAGCTGTTAACGCAATCTGGAAGACAAAAAAACGTTGTTCATGCGCACAGCCATATCACCCGAGCAGTGGCAGCCATGGACAGCTGTTATGCCCCAGGCGCAAGGTCTCACTTGAGATCACTGACCACATGTGTAAGGTACTGGCCATACCGCGGATTTGGTAATGTGTGTTTCAATGATGAATTTGGTTTTGTCTCTAATTTTTGTAGCACACCGGTTTGTTTAGCTGATCCCGCCTCGATATGCTTGACAAGATCTGTGTAGTGGTTTCCAGCTAAAAGCTACCTCATGTTTACGGTGGAGGGGGTACTTCTGTACTCGCCTCGGCAAAATTAGTGATCGCAAGTGAAAATCATTTCGCCAGGAACTATGCCTCGCGGAACAGTAGATGCCACTACCCGTGTGATACGGCTGTGCGAATGCGTAGAGTTGGTAGTGTGCTTCAGTGCTGAATTTGACGTTAAATGCATGATTTTTTCGCATTCAATGTTTCGTTAACAACTTAATAGCTTAACTATGTAGTCCAAGATAAAATACACAGTCTTTGGCAGTAAATGGGACTAAAGGTTGTTGGGTGCACCCTGGGGTAACACAAGGGTGGCAGCAACACACCCCATAAAGTGCATGCAATAAGGGTGGCAGCGACACACCTTAGTAATATACGTAATGGAATGAGGGTAGTAGCGACACACCCTAGTAATATAAGTAACGGAATGAGGGTGGCAGCAACACACCCTAGCAATGAGCAGTGCAGTGAGGATGGTAGCGACACACCCTGCACGGTAACGGACGAGGCAGCGAGTGGAGCGCATCCCCACCCAGGAGTGAATAAACTAAGGTGGGGTGGGGGCCCCACCCGGCCTGCTACGAGGAGGTAAAAGTAGCCGGTGTGCACCCAAGCCAGTAGTCCAGCTTTGTTGAATTGAGGGCGGGTGTGGCAGGTAAAAATAAGAAACTAATGCGTAGTAAACTTCTATTGGAAAATACAACGCGTGCACGCAAAGTGAACAAAACAAAGGAGCACAAAGCTAGCATTGATGGATATAAGCATAACATAGTATTGATTACAGCTACTATTAAACAATGAAAACTTGTTATCACAGAAGTTTGTAGAAACAATTGAAGGTCAGTTATTGATGTAATCGAAGATAAACAAGGAGCTCTTGAACCAGGGCTGAGTCACGCAATGTTCTTTTATGTGCGATAGCAACATATTTGCCACCCAGGGCAAAGTAAATCATAATGAAACAATGGCTGAAGTACGCTCTAATTAGTTAACTCTATTTTACGAGTAAAATGTCCATTAAAAGAACCGGTATACAAACATTGATTTAGTTAAAGATTACGGACATTGATTGACATTTTGAGATTACTAGATTTTATGCCGTTTAACACATCGTCGGGTTTCAGTCAAAAGTATTTTGCTAACCGGTATTGCTCACCAGTACAAGAGATTCAAGCTAACCAGTTTAAGGCTAACCCGTTTTAAACTACGACCCGCCACAGAAGTGAGTGAAGCACATGATTGTGAAATTAGAGTTTCTAATTGAGGTATTTTTCAGTGAGTCATTGTTCTAGAGATTATAAGTAAGTTGCGTAACGACGAATTGTATTGCTCTGTTTCAGATCGAATAATATAATTGCTTCAGTTGCTACAAATGTCAGTATCAAGAAACATCAAGTGATTGATTATACGATATTTGGTGGTCGTTGGAATACGCAGTGTATGACTACGTAAAACATTCAATATTCCACGCGCACTCTCCTTCCCCTACATTGTTCTTAAAAACTTTGCTAACTTCTTCGTGAAGTCTGGAGTTTTTTTTTTCTGGGATTACAGCCCAACGTCTCCTAACGGACACCTCTATGATACGGACAGTTCGTTTGGTCCAAGAAATGCTAGCCTGAGATCATGCCCTCTCCCTTTAGCTCTGTAATCTGTTTTAGGGAGGCCAAAGAAGCAAAATAAATAAATAAAATAAAAAATAACGCCTGATCTCAGGTTACAGAAATGCCAAAAATGATACATTCCCTACCTCAATAATGCGGACAGTTCCGTAAAGCGGACACTTGGTTCTGTCCCTTTGGTGTCCGTATTAAAGAGGTTTGACTGTATTGCCTTAATTCGATCGTGTACTTTTTCAAATATGAGCTTATTTCTTATCGCACATTGAACGAACTACGAAAGACAACCTTAATCGTTACCTTCTCCATCTCTGTCTCTTTCAGAAAGAGGTGTCATCCCTTGATCTACAGTTAATAAACGTTCTCATGGTAAAATCGTATTGGCAATCAGCTCTATTTCGGCATTGTCACCTTCATACTCAGATTTGAATATTTTTACGTCATAGACGGATGTTTTTGTAGTGTGTGCGCGCGGATGATGTCATGGCACGCGCGCGCTATGTTCCGTGAAACTATACTGTTCCTTGTGGCTAGTTATGGAAAAATAATAACTTGCGGGCTGTCAACTGAAAACCCTAAAGTGGTGAATTTTATGTGTGCTTTTAGATCTCTGAGCTGTGGAATGGAATTGGTTCTAACCCCTCAAAACACAAAATTTCACTCATTTTCGATTAATTACTAAGTACGGTATTCTTACCACTTTGTCAGTGCCAAATGCCTGTCTTTTCCACCATGGCTAGCGTGGCCATTACCGTTTTGCTGTAAAAGACAGTATTTTGGGGATATACCCAAAGGACCTCAGCGGTGTCTCGGGGAAGTATCAGGGGATAGAAAGCACACTGAATTTGCGAGAAGGAGATACTCATATCACTAGGGGTTTTTAGCATAGTGGCACCCAAAACCCAAAAAACACCGAGATCCCAAATCATTGGGCAAAATTCAGTCGGGTAAATACGTACCAGTCACATTCATCATGTACGTTTGTCTGGAGAAAAGCTTTTATTTGCTGAACTGATTAGAAACCTTAAAGTATCAAAACTTTGCGAACTAAGAAGAGGCTCATAACAGTTATTATCCTTTCAGTTTGGAGACAAATATATGCGTTGTCATAATAGATTTTTATTGTTACAAAATATCTGTACATGTGATATCTATTCAAATTTATTTATATTGTGATCGAAGTTATGGTTCTCAAGTAAAACGTACGTAAACATTTAAGGATAAGAATTGCGTTATGTTGTTTTGAATAAAATATCCCTTTTACAATAACCAGGAACTACTATAAGACCATAAGTATGAGCAAAACGCAGATCTGTTGGTCTCCTCATGTAAGAGTAACGATCTGTACACAGTTCCCTGTGCTGCCAATAACCAACTGATTGCCGTTACGTGATACATCTAGCGCTTGGATGGGTTTGCCTTCATCTTCTACACTGGAAACTACCTGCCAAAAAATGCAAATCAAAAAATAAGACTTTCCTTTGCAAACTTAATTAATTTTCACTTTATGATGAAATTCTTTTCTTGAAATCGCACCTTCTGTACATCAAATGGCCTTGCGTGAACCCAATTTTTTCAAGTTTGTTGTTTGTAATCCGCGCTATTCTCTTACATCCTAAGGCTACGTGCAAATAGATGCGACATTGTTGGCCAACAACTCCCAACATTGTTGAATGTTACCTGTTGCGTCCGTTCGCACATCCTGTCGCATGTTGTTGCGCAAAGTTTGAAACCGGTCAAACTTTAAGCTACAAAATTCAAAGGGACGAAACAGTGTTGCAGTTTGCAGTTTGCAGTTTGCAGTTTGCCATTTCTTTCCGGTGTTTTCTTTTTTACCACACTATAGCATGCGTAGCTGGCGGTGTTTTATTGTGTGTTTTTTTATGCAGTTAGCAAAGTTTCAGCCGCGCAAAAGCTGAACCGATGTCGAAACAGAAAACTATTGAGGAGGAGGCGAGGAGAAGTGAAGGTTATTTGCACAACCTCCTCCCCTCGCCCCCTACCCCATCGTTTTCTATTTCGTCCTCGGTTTCAGCTTTTGCGCAGCTGAATCTCTTACTTTACGAACCACATCAGAAAAAACACACCAAGAAACGCCAGCTACGCAGGCTAATCAAATTAATACTTGGACGTTTTCTTCAGTTTTATTATTGCGCACATAACATAGGGTTACGGTTTTTTTCTGTGCCAAACTTACTTAATACTAGTGTTCTTAACTTTAGTACTTTATCATTTATTGTAAACTTCTGTGGCAAAAGTAAAATCTTAGTCTTAAGTAAGCTTATTTCTTGCACTACTTATAGAAAAGTTAATGAAACGAAAATAGAATAAAATAAAACTATGACTCAAGTACAATGCCAGAGCTCCTTGAATATAGTTTTCCTTCCCCTCCTTTCATACAGTTGGATGTTTTTCTCACCTCACGCTTGGTTCTGTCGATGATCTTAAGATCATTTGTTCCACTTCCTCCAGCAGCTATGAGGTCACCAGAGCCACAAAAGCGGCCCACGTAAAGAAATTCACCATGGTGATCACTGGGAAATGGAATGACTTCCATCAGCTGACCACTCCCAAAGTCCCAAACCTACAATGCAAAAGAATCTGTTATTACTACTATTAGACAAAATGAATGGATGAATAAATAAATACTGACTGAATAAATGAATGAATGAATGAATGAATGAATGAATGAATAGCATTGATAAAAGATAAAAAACTAAACAGATTATAGCCAGTGAAAATGACAATTTATTGTCAGGACTATGTTTGGTTCTTTTTAGTTTGGGGAATTTCTTCATTCACTTGATATAAGTAGGGACACATACCACTCTTCCTTGGGGATGCTTATATGAAAATCTTTTAACCTGACTTTCAGATTGATCTTTTTGTTAACACTCGATGAAAAGTCTGTGTGATCTTCACAATCTCGTGCCCTTTTCCTCAACCTTTTATATGTTTGATAGACAGACTTCCCGCTGGGCCGAGTACATATGTGCACAGACAATTACTACCAAGACCTAGTGTAAGAATGAAGAACAGAGGTAGATATGACTAAATTGTGAAAACCAGTGATGAAGTTGTGAGAAAAAGAATGCCTGCTTTCCTTCCTCACTGATGACCCAAACAAAACAGAATTTAGCTGTAAGTCTAAAGTGTACCTGTAGAGAATCATGTGCCACCCAAGATGCCGTCAAAACTGAATCCTCCCAGATATCAATTCCTTCACCACAAATGTATGGGCCATTGATTGAACGGACTACCTGATCGGCACGCACGTCCCAAACCTTAGGGATTACAATAAAATATAATTGTTCAGTTAAAAGGATCTTCATAAGAAATAAGCATAATTTATAATTAGTAAGGATTGTTAACTTCAGCTTATGATTAATAACAAGGTGATGACAATTAGCATTATGAACTTGTTTCAAATGAATTAAGGCCTCTTCATATGCGCCTGGTTTACGAGATCTCAACATACTCTAAATCCCTTGCAAAAATGTGTTCATATGAGAGGGCGGGCTGGTTCAGTTCCCAAGATCTAAGTTTTTCCAACCGGGATCTTGGTCATAAGTAAAGCGGGCTGGAAATTTTACCACATGGACACTTCAGCCCAGTTACCGTGATGACAGCTGCATGAATTCTGGCGGTCCAGATGATGGCATCACTTGGCATTGCCTGCTGTATTTTCCACATCATAAGCATCCCATTTAACTGCAGCAATACAGCTTAAAGAGTTGCCGAAGCTATGATAGGCGAGAAAGTTATAACAATATTACTTTTGTGTTTCGCCATGTTTGCTTTGTTTCTCAAATTTGGTTCCAGAACTTGTCCCCAGGATCTTTGGTTGTTTCTCATCTCAGAAACCAGACTGAAATTTCTCATTATGAACCCAATGCAAAATTCATCCCAGTAAACACGTAAAGAGGCCCTAACACAGTTTGGATGCAGAAAAGATCATTCATGTGTTGCTGTTCTTTTAAGCAACTACAACGGGAAAATCCTCTGTAGATGTCTATTTTTATGGAATATGTTGGTGGACACTCCCATCAAAAAGTAATATGACTGTGTGTTCAGAAAATTCAAAAGAAGACTGAAAACCTTAATTTCAGGGCTTGCAGAAAATTTTAGGGAATTCAGGTTGTCCTTAGCAGAATTTGTAAACTGCTTGTCCACTGGCAGAGACTATGTTGCAAAAATATCTTAATAATTTTTGTTATAATACAATAACTTAAACCACGGTAATTTTGGACTATAAACACCCTAACAATAAAAGGTACTCTGTATCACCCTTAAGTTTTTGATAGAAAAGAAACACTTTAAGTGAAAACATAACAATTTAATAACAATCTATCAAAGACTAGTTCAAATCAAAAGATCAAAAATGGAAAACCTGTTAGAAATGGTGACAAATAAATGGACAAGCTCTGACTCTGTACATACCTTGATACACCGATCCCAGCCTCCTGTTAAAAATATATTGTCATCAAATGGATGAAATCTTACAGCAAATACTTTTCTTCCATGGCCTGCTTCAGGAGCAAAACCACCTTGTCTAAATTAAAAAAAAAAAAAAAAGACAGGTGAAAAGAAGCTGATATATTGACATAAATATTTAAGCATCTCCATCTTCTAAATGGTGATTACAGAACAAACTAAACAATGCTGTTGTCTGGCAGCCCCACCCACTTACCTCTTGGCTTTGGTGACCTTTGCTTTGGGGAACAGGGATATCCCTTTTTTTGGCACAAAATTCAAATGGTGGGTACCAGATATGCCATAGGGTCAGAGATATAGCAGCATATTGCCAGGCAGTAGTAAAAGACAGGCAGGACTTGTTGCACAGAAAGAATCATTGATGTACAAAGCTAGGGATTGATTGTTCTTTTAAGTTCACTCACTGTGTAGATGCAAGATCATCTGTTCCTCCAAATGTTAGCTTTACTTGTAATGTGCTTGTGTCATAGACTCTTATCTTTCTGTCCTGAGAATATTTCAAACAACAATTAAAGTGAAATACTATTAAAAAGATATTCAATATCTGACTTATTTTTGGTCCAGTTGACATGACACCTCTTTAACTAATTTTTGGGACAAGTGGAAAAGTTGACGTTAATGAAAATACTCACTGATGAGATTGGAAATCTTTTCTCACTTGAAACATTTATATGGTGTCAGCCATTGCAGATCTGAATCTTTAAGATCCCCCAGCCTAAACCTACCCCACCCTGAGATGACAAACATCCATAAAACTTATCCACCCCTTGAAACTCCACACAACTGACTATGCCCCAAAATTGTTATGTGGATCTAATCCAGTAAAAAGCTGCTTAGTGGCTCAAAAGACAATTTTTGCTGGGAGATTTGGCCAGCCTTTGGGGACCAGGGGCCCGTTTCTCGAAAGTCCCGATAATTAACAGGCCCGGTAAGCTGTCTCCGAGGTCGAGGTTCCAATAGTTTTGCATCTAAAGTGATAAAACTATCAGTTAATGAAACAAAATGGAGTAGTTTGCTTGCCAGGACCCGCGCTCTTATTCTTTACATTTTGATTTGAATATTTTATTTCGGGCCTGAAAAGTTACCGGGACTTTCGAGAAACGGGCCCCTGGACATCTGCTTTGTTTCAGTCCCAGAATGTTGATATAGCAGTATATAGGTGCATATGGTAGTCCACTGACTCAGTCGAGCTGTGACCCAGCTTTGCTATGATTATTTTAATACCTTGCCAGCAGTAGCAAATATTTTGCCATCATGAGAGAAATCCAAAGCACTTATTTCATTGTGAGGTTCATCAACAGTTTTAAAGACATTCCATGATTCCAGGTCCCAACATGTCATTGTCCCATCAGCACCTGAATACCAGCCGTAATAAAATGTTACAACCCTCCAAGAATATTAGAGTCAAATAGTTGACATAGTCAGTTAAAAAATACAGCTGTTTAAGCTTCAAGTTGATTCATACTTTATATATTTATTTATCTTTCAATTACCTTTTCCTAGAGATTCAACAGAAAATCAATAGTCACCAAAGATATCTTAGAAGTACAAGTTTTTAAAAAAGAAAAACTGAGTAGAAAAATATATTTGGTCTTTAAGGTTGATTTTTTCCTAAACTCTCGTGTAAAAATAGGAGATACGTAGGCTTTCCCAGCACCAATACATTAACCTTAAAGCAAGACCAACTTACTTGCAGTTATCAATTGGTCATCCTTATACGGAAAAAATTTGACTGCTGTGATAGGCAAGCCATAGAGAGAGCCATGCTTTAGAGGACGTCTCTTCCTCCCCGTGTCACAAGCATACACCTTTACAATGAAATGGAGAGAAACTAACCTTACATTCGTCAGCAATATATCCACAATAAATTACAAAATTAAAAAACATCCCCCCACCCAACAAAAAGATTCAAACTAGGTAATCCTGAGTGGTCAAGATAAGCCCATCTTATCCACTTGGCATGCATAGCCAATTAGAACACAGAATTTACTTCAACTTGCATGTTTGCAGAGCCAACTCAAAACGATCTCTAAATAAAATACTGTACACTTATTGAACAGAGAATGTCTCCACCACTTCATGTAAGAATGTTGTTTTCATTTGTTGGCAGTCATGCAATATTTCACACCAGTTTTTGCTAGACAGGGTGCAAAGAAAGTCAGATTTACTGCCTGCCATTCGCGCAAGCTGTAGCTAGCATGTACTAACCCACAAGTCATTTCAACTAGCCCCCAAACCCTTTTGGATTAGCAGCATTGATTACAATCCTTCTGTAATTTGAATTTTCTCAAAAAACAGCACTTGCCCGTCAGGCAAGTTAAGAACAAAATCCACTAGCCCGATAGCAAAATCCACCAGCCCCGGGCTATCGGACATAACTTTCTTTGCACACTGCTAGAAAAGGCATTTCTCTTTCAAGTTCTTATATTTTACTGATAAGTAGAACCTAATATTATAATTCTTCAATAAAAACTTCTGAAACCTCTTTTTAAGCAAGTTCACTGGCCTCAGTTGTTCAAAAGCTGAATAGCACTCTTCACTTGATAGCGCTATTGGTTTCCCTACTTATCCTCTGGATGTTAATTTATCCAGTGGATAGCACCAGTCCATCCAGCTTTTGATATAGTCCATTACGGACGGAGGGTCCAACAAAATACATGTCCAAAAAGTCTGAGACCAGGAGATTTAATGCAATTACTAGTAGCTAACTGGTACTCAAAGATGGCCCCCTAATGCATGATATGTTTTAGATTACCTGAATTGCCCCATTGCCACAGCCAGCAACTAAACACTGTGTATTGTATGAGAAATTTACACCATATATTCCCATGACATCTCCAAAATCAATTTGGACTGATGATAGTTTAGAAACACCATTTGCTGCAGCACTGAAATTCAGGGCAAAATATTGGAAAAAACAAAAACAAGAGTCAGACTGAAATAATTCCCACATTCTATTCTTGGATATTACTGCTTTCATGCACTTCTACCTTGTTGGGAAGTATCATGTTTTTTCCACCAAAAAGCTCTGAAGAGAGCAAGTGTTTACAGTTTTTGTTAAGGTACGGTAAAACAGGAATAGAAAATGTGCAACAAGTTGGATACCAATGTTGTGGGTTTACAACCCAAGAAAAAAAACTTGCAGCCTTATTTGTTGCAAAGACAGGCCCAAATGTGGGTGGTAATATGAGAACATCGCTATTCAAATTGTTTTACAGCAATGTTGCAAAACAAGTTGCACATGTTTTGTTGTCTGTTTTAGCATAGCTTTGTCTGTTGTGCACTCGCGATGTTATCAGCTTGTCATATACGCAAGAAATGTAGCCTGCTGTGTTGAAGAAAATAAAGCGTGACTTCTTGCATGGAAGAAAAAATTTACTTTGCTGACAGAATGATAAAATGACAAGCATTCAATAGAATGTAATTGACTCTCTTTGTTTGCAAACTGAATCACACAAAATTTTGTATCTGACCTTCAGAATTATTGCATTACTTACTTACGGACACTACGGACATGACATGACTGCAAAGTGTTACAGTTTCTATGGAAACTGCAAACATGAGGTTCAAGAAACAATCACCCTTTTTTACATGCATATTGTCACTCTCTCTCCCAGGGCAAGAATAATAAATAGTGATGTGTGAATTTTCTGTAGTTAACAGTATAATGATTTACTTAAGCTTATTTTAGAGAACATGTCTGGCAGCATGCATGTACTTTTAATCTGTTTAAAAAAATTTAATCACTCTTAAGACACACACTCGATCTGCACTGTAGCTCTTCATCTAGTATTTTCAATCATCACATTGTTATCATTTGCCTTACTCTCTTTTTTAAGAAGCATACCCAAAAACTCAATACAATTTGATGATGATAATGTTGAAAGATTCTTCAAAACATGTCTTTCGTTTCTAACAGCATAACAGATCTAGAAATGACCCCTTTTTGACCTTTCTTGGACATATAAAATGTGATTATTTTGCAACAAGTTTAAGGCAAGTTTGGTTGAAAATTCATAAGCAACGTAATCAAGTTTAAAGTGTAAGGTAACAAATCGTGAGAGATAAACTTTTAAAAGAAGTCTTATGCAAGCCGTGAGCTGAATTACTCCAGAAATATGCATATTGAGCTTACTTTTACAAGGCAATGAAAGGCTACAAAGTGTACAGATCTACTTGATATTGATACGTCTGTAGAGGAGGTTTAGCTATCATTATGCAGCCATTACTATTTGATGCGTTACATGTTAAAAATAATCAAATTTCTTGTAATATTATTGTCGTTCTCACCTGGTACTCTCGATATCTTTTCCCGCGTTCAGAGCATCTTGGAGCCGTCGTCTCGTTCCGGCCGACATACTGTATTATTATGCTTTTACTCGACATCAACAACAAAGATGATAAACAAGGAAAGAAGAAAAAGGGCTTTACCCATTTCTTTCATGTGATCTGATTAAAATTTTCAGGTTGTAGCACTGCAAGAAATCAAAGTTCAAACAACGAACGGAGGACGAGGGCGGGGAGAAGTTGTGGTTCCTAGTCTTCGCGCAATGAACCACAGCATCACCAAGCTAGGAAATTGTTAGGAGAGACTACGGTACCCAGGCATTCGCACTGGTGCTCGGGACCTCGGGTGCCAAGAATACAATAAAAACCCGCAGGTGACAATATGCATTTTCCCAAGTTAGCCTAATCAGGTTCACACATAAATGGTAATTAGCACAAATCTAGGCTTCTTAGGTTCTTATTATCATAAGAAAAAAAAAACATTGAAGAAAAAATATACTGCAGCGAAGACTGACTAGTCTGGTCTAGTGGTATTCAGCTTATTCCTTATTCGTTATATAAAATCTGCATACCAAAGCATTGCAGTTGAAGTAATAACGCACCTATGTCTCCAAAGAGGATCCTAGAATTTGACCAAGTGTACGGCATTTTTTAAAAACAGATTTTAGGAAATAAGAACCTCTTCAAATTTTAGGCTAAACAGTTTCTTGTATAGAACGGGCCCAACTGATAATTTTTTAACCTAACAGGTTTTTGAAAACCAGGCCCAAATTGTTCAAAAGCTGAAAAGTGCTCTCCACACCGGATAAATCTCTATCCAGTGGATAGCGCACTGTGGTTGTTTTCCCTAATTCTTATCCGCTGGATAGTGATTTATCTGAAGGATAGCACTGTCCAGCTTTTGAACAACTGCAGCCGGGTTCCTGGACGCGGCTTTTTTACTGTACTACAAGACCTTTTGTGTATTAAGAATGCCAGATCGATAAAGACAGATCTTTCTTTTTTTCTTTCCCAATAATAATCTGCGCAAGATTTTATGTTGGATCTAGCTCTTATAAAACAGGTGTAAATACCCATGTCTGACAGGTTCTTAATCATCAGGTTCTTATTCACCAATTTTTACTGTACAGGACAGAATGACCGTCTTTTACCTTGATGGTTTTGCTCTATCTTTTCTAGTGAAAACAAAGAAGGGAAGCCAAGCTCGCTTGGTAACCCGTAAGAAACATGGCCATGGATTGCCATGGATATTATGAACAAGAACGACAACAATCAACGCATCACTTACAGAGACACATTTTATTTACCTTACAAAGATGCGAAAGTACAAAAATTACTTAATCATTATATTTCTGATCCAAAGATTTTTATCATTTTTAATTTTCGATTAACTGCACTTAATAAAAGCAATGTCAGCCACTCTATACTTTACTTGCATTATGAACATCACTGAAAGCGACGTTGCTCAGTTAAATCTTTGATATACATGCGTTAAAGGAACAATCAACTAACATATACAAAGTGGTTAAACAGCCACTACGGCGACGACAGCGAAAAGGGTCCTGATAAGGCGAGTTCGCCGCTTTCATTCAAACTTGAACTCTCCCAATTTGCCAATTGCTAGTGAATTCTCATGGAATTGAATTCTTAGAGAACGCGTACAAGTTTAGAAAGAGAAATTTTTATTCGCGCTAGAAAATTTTACATCCTAGTCGTGCAGTGACGGCCAAAAAAAAGGTATCACAAAGCGTGGTGCACGTGAAGCACTGATTTTTGTTTTTGTTTTCCTTTCATTTACCTTCTTCTTGTCACCACCGTAATTGCTGCTTACGATACCTTTTCATTGTAACTAACGTCGGTACCTCGTTGTTTATTGTCTGTTCGTTTATTTTGTTAAATAGAAACATTATGTAGAAAATATTACACTTTCCTTGAAGTTTAACAGAGAGCATTTCCAAGCTACAAACTACGTCGTGACGACTAAAGGGCAGTTTCTTGGTGTTGCGGATGATGTGATCCCCAAATGACAAAATACAATAAAACCTAGACTTCCTCAAAGTTCTTCGCTTCTCGTTTCCGGTTCCGGTAGTAGGCCCCAGCGCGAGCTTCCGGTCTCTCGCTCACTTTGCCACCGAAAACATAAGAAATTTCTAGCTCGCGCTTTGCCCTCGAAAAACAAATTTTGAGCTGGACTTGTGGGCAAGTCTAACTAAAACCAAACCGATAATAATTTCCAGAACACCAAGAAACATCCACTAAAAAAGAGTGCTTGGTTCGGGCATTGATTGTCATCTACCAAATGGGCTTCTGTGCGACTCTTCGTTGGAGTGTAAACAGGCGGTCATGACTATTTACAAACGTGTCCGTTTAGTTTAACTCAAAGCCACCAAGAACTGGTTCAAAGGAAGGCGAATTTAAAGCAAAGCGCGCTGAACAGTCTTTCTTGTTGCTTAGCATTAAATACTTCATAGTACTGAGGATTAATTGAAGATTTCTCCAAACAAGTGCAGTTCTTTAAAACTTTGTCAATCGCCTCTCGTTCATCAGCGAAGCCGCTCGGAAACAGCGATCTTAGCCTGCGTTGCAAGCGTTTCCGTTTGGTTTCGGAGCAAAAAAATACCGAGGAAGGGGACTGTCGATTTTGACCGCGCGAGAAATGAAATGAGAGCCAAAAAGTGAAAGAGGGGGAGGTGGAAGGGAAGGAAGGAAACTTCCTCACCTCCTCACCGCTCTTTTACTTGCGCCACTTTTCTCGCGGTCTTTGACTCTCGTTCCTCGTTCTTTTCTCCTAAACCGCACAGAAACGCTTGCTACGCAGGCTACAGCGACCTCCGTTTAGCTTTTCTTTTTTTTTTTGCCAAAAAAACAACATTTCTAATAAAAAAACTTCTGTGTACATTCGCCTCTGCTTTCAAGAAAATATTAAAACAAGGAGGTTGAGTGCAAGGCTGCTGCCTAACGGGCGCCCGGTCGCCAGAGGCGCCCAAGGTAAGAGCATGGGCGACCAAATTTCGGTACAAGGAGCCCGCGCGGGCGCCTGACTTAACACACGGCATTAGACTTAACCTCCTTGTACATTATATTCCTTTAGCTGGAGTAGGACTTTAAACAGTGGAACTGTTGATATGGTTAGCGATGATGCGATTAGGCAGTATAAAATTTCCACAAATAAACCGTAAATTATGTAAACCTAACGTGTTCAACTGTGAAGCTTTGTCGAAACGAACGAAGCCATCGTTTCCGAGTCCGGATGGCAGTTGAAGACTGGGTCTGAGATTTGACTTCCAAATATGGAATAGCAAAATTATGGGCTGTTTGTTGCCTATGTTGACATTCGTGCAGTTCATCGTTTGCTTGGGTTTTCGTCGATTTGATAACTTTTTTGTGGCGAGAATGGGAAGCTATCTTGCGTGCTATCGACTGGACGTGCTTGATGTTCGATTTCATGTACCAGTTTGCAACGTATGAAAGTAAATAATTCGGTTAATTCTTGTTTACGTGTTATTTATTAGGCCCGGCGAATTCTTATTAAAGTGTGCAAGAACCTCTATAACCTATGTAATGATCTTGGAAAAACAATACATGGATTTCAAACTGGGCTCCTAACAATGTGGCTCGGGCTCCTAACTTTAAACTTTAGGAGCCCGAAGGGCTCCCTAAAATTTTTCTTAGGCAGCAGCCTTGGAGTGCAAGCTGAAAAAAACTTGTGTAACAGCAGTGAGTGTTAAATAAAAACGTACTGCACTTTAATTGAAGGAACTTCTTTTGCGTGTGCCAATAGCTAGAGAGCAGCCTAGTCAAGGAGAAGGAAAAAGATACATCCTCTTTTGGTCAAAAAGAGCAAGCGATTTTACAAACTTTTTCCTTGATTTTAACTTATTTATTACATGGAGGGAATACATACTACACTCCATATCATGCAGGTTGATTTCTTTGCTTATTCAGGCGATTGGATTTCCGTCCTGTACCACTCCATTTTGGCCAGGTGGCAAAACAGCCAATGTTCCTGTCAGAAATAGGACACGAGTCTCAAAATAGCAAGAAACGTAAAAGCCAGCATGACAAGATTCATTACTAACGCACTTTATGACTGACAGTGACCCAAAGGGAACAGTGATCTTGGCGCGACTGGCACATAAAACTTGCCGTGGTTCGTTAGGGAAATGGTTAGGGACTTCGTTTCACCCTAGAGAGATGTACTTTTTAGATACATGGCACGTAACACGTTCTCGTAAAAACAGAAACGCGCTTGAATTGGGAAGCACAACGGTTTTGGCAAAATTTTGTCCTTGTTTGAAACCTTTATTTCTTATATTTAGACAAACTTCAAAAAATAAAAATTCATGTTACTTGACTCCGAGGCTTCGGGATATAAAGCAAAGAAAAAGAAAAGAAAATAATTAATATATCCATCCCCGAATCTCAAAGTCACTTTTTTTGTTTTTAATCCACTCAGGCTAAGAGCAAAGTACGAATTTTAATAATCCAAAACTGACCTGTTGGCTTTCGAGATACTTTTCACCTATGGTTTTGTTTTAGAAAAAGCTATATCATTTATAAACGCAGGTGACATGACTGCTCGCTGCAAAAGGCCTATTGACCGGTTCTTGGATCCACGTTTCTGCGCAACTTCATAATATTAAACCAATAAAAGAACCGATATCGCCCCAAATACCCATATTAAGAGGACATACCTGCCCATGGGCAATAACACATGAAACCTGATCCAGTCTTCAAAATGGCCAATTCACCATTTGCACATCTCCCATAATAAACTTCTTTTCTCCCACACAATTTTGCATAACCTTTGGCCTGATTTGGGCCTTCTTTTAGTATTTTCCGTTTAACGTTTTTCAACACATGACAAACAGGGACCTTACGAAACCACGACAGCGACGACAAAGACAACAGGAAAACTCATTTCATACAGCAAAACAACGGCAAATTTCTTGGCCGTCCCTGTACAACTACGTAGTGAAATGTCGACTTTTTACTGTATCTGTCTGAGCTCAGACCCGTGAAATAATCGCGAAAAGTTTTGAACGGACGCCAAGTCAGTTTTTCGGGGAGT